TCCTAGGCCCACCCCAAATCGAAGGATCGCAGCCCCAGTGCTCCAGAGGGAGGGCTTGGGGCTGGGCTGCAAAAGTTCAGCGTTGCCTCTGAATCTTCTAGAGCGACGTTTGCACTCACACAGGACAGATGTGCTCTGAGCCTGTGGGATAGCCTCACAGCCCCTTTGAGCATTTGGAAGATTGTGCTTAGCAAAGTGGGGTTCTGCCCTCACCAGAGCCCACAGGGTCACCAGGCTATTAAACCCTGCGGAGTCTCCGGGGAGGCTTCCTTTGCGAGCCAAACACCCCATCTTCTGGCTGAACTGCTGCGGGCTTCGTCCCGGGAGGAAAGACCCCCCAGGCACCTGTGTGGACTCATCTCGGCACCAGTAGCGGCTCTAAGGCCACATCTGGGCCTTGCTGGCAGAGGTCTGGGCTGTCTTGGGCACAGAGGCCAATGCCAACAGGCCCAGCACTGATCTCACACGTGATTCCAGCAAGACAGCCTAGATTTTTGCACATCTCTGAGAAAACTTTCATACCATACCGCACAGCTAACCTCAGGCGCAACCAGCCACTAACTTCTCTCCCCGCCCAGGCGAAGTCCCCTTCGCTGCAGTGGTGCAGCATTTCAGGGACATGGAGAAAGAAGTTTGCTTTGTGATTCCGTAAACTCAGATGTTTCATATAAGGAAGATGATGTAAAATCAGAAACCTTATTTTAAAGCTTGGTACATATGTGCGTATGTCCCCTACAACTGGGGACGCTGGAAAGGCAGCATCTGAACACTGGCTGCTTTGAAAAAAGGTCATGAGAAGGGCAGAAGGGGTCACCTGGGCACAGGGTGATGGAGGGAACCCCAAGTTCACTCCTTCTAAATTCTTTCAACGTCCATCTGTTTCCCTGAAAAGTCCGGCTTGGCTACTAGGCCTGAAAAGTCTATGTAGTTTATATCATGTTTGTGAGTGTCAGTATTTTTGTTTAGGGTTTATTTTCACCTTGCTCCAGATACAAGAAGCAAAAGGAACTCTACATTTTCCTGTGTTTGGGGTGCTCAGGCGAGAAAGAAAATGCCTGCTTAAAGTAATCGATCAGCAGTGTTTTGTTTGCACACGCACTTTATTCTGGCGAGTGATTTTTAGTACCAAGTTTGCCTTAACTTTTCACCGCACTCATTTTTATCCTCATGGCTAAAATAGCTGTATTTACTCCACAATCTAAATTAAAGGAGGGTGAGCTGATCGACTTTTAGGAGGCTGTAGTAAAGAAATTTCATCTTTCTGTTCATAACGTTAAGTTGGGGGGTTGCTGGGAAGGGAAATAGAGAGTGTTCCCTTGGAGGGACTTTTCCAACTTTCATTAGTTTGAGTCACCAACGCACGTTTTATTTTTAAGGAAGTATCATATTCATTGCAGAACCACCTCTAAATATTTTACCCCTGGCCATACCGTATTCTTTTCTATTGAAACATATTTTTTGCCTCTCTGAGATCAGCTATGGCTTGAGTATTGCTAAGAACAAATTTCGAAGTTGCTTGTTTTTTTGTTTTGTTTTTCTTAAATCCACACTTCTTTGAGGGTTGGCGGGGGTGGGGAGGGAACAGCAACTGCTTAATGAAGTTTCTCACACAGAGGCAAAAAGAGAAAAGCCAAAATATATTCAGGGTATCCAGCAGTTCCATGTTTAATTTTTTTTTTTTTTTTCCTTATTGGTTTAGGGGGTTGTGTAGGAGGGTGGTGGGAAGGATCTGAAAAGAAGCTGTGATTCTTTGCTGAATTAATGATGACTTCTCACTGCAAAATGCTGATTTATAATCTCTTCACCATACTAGACTGTTTCCAGACTCAGGGGGAAAAAGTTTGCTAAATGTATTCATAATTACATGCACAGTTTCAGACGGCTGAATATAAGTAATGCTTGTGCTGTTGCGAACGCTCACCATTAAAGCAGAAATTGTTTCACATTTAGCACTAAATTCTGTCTGATTTTGCACACTTAACAATTCAGTAATTTTAACATTCAGCTTCGTCGTCTCCATTATAGCTCAGTATCTTGGAGAAACAGTCAGTGTTCCGGCCTCGTTAATTCACGTAAAACACCCTATTTGTGGAAGTATCATTAAAGGCTAATTTGATGAGATATCCTTATTTAGCAAAGCAAATAGGATTTGACAGTCAGCTCCGGGTGGCGATTTAGCAAAGCACAAACACAATTCACAACGTGACAATTTCCCATCCGTGCGCCTCGCTGGAATTGTGGACTCCTGAAAATTGTGCTGTTTCATCGTGTCCCATACTAAAGAGAAAGAACTCTGGAAGTAAAGAACTGTTTTTGCCAAGGCAGCACAAATGTCATCTGCGTGTACATGTGCCATGTCTTTCAAATCCTAAATCTTGTATCAAGAACGCTGTGTTCACAAGTTTTTTCCAGGTACAGCTCACTTCTATTCCCTGCTGTGCAGACTTAATTTAAATCTAGACTTGCAAATAACTTAGGGTGTGTGGAAGTCTATATAGGTTACAACTATATAGGGAGTGTGCGTGTGTGTACGTGTGTACACACAACTGAAGGTTAATGTTCTGCGAGGGGGATTTATACCCACTACCCTTGCTTTAAAGACTTCCCTCGAACGTATTAACCAGGCTTTTATAAAACGCCTGGCTGGGCGCAGTGGCTCACACCTGTAATCCCAGCACTTTGGGAGGCCGAGGTGGGCGGATCACGAGGTCAGGAGATCGAGACCATCCTGGCTAACACCGTGAAACCCCGTCTCTACTAAAAATACAAAAAATTAGCTGGGCTTGGTGACACGGGCCTGTAATCTCAGCTACTCCGGAGGCTGCAACAGGAGAATCGCCTGAACCCGGGAAGCAGAGGTTGCAGTGAGCCAAGATCGCGCCACTGCACTCCAGCCTGGTCAACAGAGCAAAGATTCCGTCTCAAAAAACAAAAAACAAAAACAAAAAGAACGCCTTCAACAGCAAAGTAGCAAAGAGTTGCAAAGAAATGTTGCAATTCCAGGTGGAAGCAAACAGCTGGTTGCTCCTAATTTAACAAACGTAAAGACAAATCTAATGTCATCACAATTCATCATTTCAGGAGTGCCTTATTTGGGGGTTTCAAACACTTTGCCACAACCGACATCCTACTAATTCCTTTCCAATCCAATCCTGTCCTTTAAACCATTGTGGGGGTGGTCAGGGGGGATGTACTTTCTCCTCTTTGCATCGTTTTTCGGCCTCCCAAGGAGAGACGCCCTTGGAAAACACAGTAGGTTCGGCAAACTGAGAACACACACATATAAGAATACCGCCCTCGAAGGGGCCTTTTAGTTCTATGCAAGTAGCAGACCTCCCCCTCTTTCCCCAGCTCCCCCACGCAGCCGGGTTTTAGATGCCTTCCCTGGGGGTGGTAGCTCTCTGCCCTCACCCTCCCGGGACTGCCCGGGCCTGAGTCCCTCGCTGTCCAGAATGACCCCAAAAGCGGGACTTTGAGGGCCAGTTGGATAAAACATAAACTCATCTCGCCCTCAAAACCCCGATTCTGAGACCACAGCCTCCAAAACCTCTTTTCCTAAGAAGTGAGTCCCCATTCACGGCTGACAGCACCGGGGCAGGCCGCCTTTGAGGCAGGAGTTTGGAGAATCCCGGATCGCTGAAGGAATCGGTACTGGGTGTTCCCTCGGGGCGGCGGTTCATCTCACCAAAATGGCAGGGGGTCGCTATGGGAGGAGGGGGCATTTGCCCACCCCACGGCTGAGGGCAAGAGAATCGCTTGATCCCGGGGTGTCTCTTCCCTCAGGGAGCAATCACCAATCTCGCCCAGTAAACAGGCCTGAAAGCTTCCCGGAGAACACGAGGGGGTGCCCCCAACGTCCCTTAGCAGCGGATAAATCGGGTGTCCGAGGTGTCTCGTACAGTCCACCCACCCCCCCCACGCCATCTCCAGCTAAAAAAAGTTTCGTTATTTGTGTCCTTAATCGTCTCTCATTAAAGTCAAATTTGCTGTGCGCCCAAACTGGGGGAAGTGATTTCCATTTTAATAGCTCAATTAGCCTCTAGGTTCTGGAAAGGCCACTCCCCCACGCACCTTTTCTCTTCATTTTAACCCCCCTCCCTTTTTCACAACTTCTCCTAAAAATAAATTATAAATATGGATGTGTCCTCAGAGGACATGAGCGGCGCATTCCAACGCTCCGCTTGGTGGGGATTGGAAGCAAAGAGAAACCAGAAACGCCACTCCCCCCACCCCCAAATCAAAATGCCTTTTTCCTTTCTTTTTCCTTTTCTTTCTTTTTTTCTAACTTCTTTTTCCTAACTTGGTGTCGTCTCGGGCACAGACACCCAGCTCCGCACCCCGGTACCTAGTTTTTTTTTGCCCCCGTCCTGCAGAAGCTAAAGCCAATGCGCGAGGGCTGCCTGCTTCTCGGGAGGAGGGCGCAGACAACTTTATTTAGGGGGCCGCGGTAACTCTCTGGGGACGGTGGTTCCCGGCCGGTCCGGAATCCCCGGGGCCCGGCCCCCGCAGGCGCCGCCGCCCATGCCAGCGGGGCCCGGGCGCACGTGGAGCGGCGGGCGCGGCCGGCCTGCTCCGCGCGCGGCATTGAGATCGGGGTCACGCAGCCAGTCAGTTTCCCGAGCGGGCTTTCCGGGGTGGGGGCGGGGACGCGGACGCTCCAACGCCTAGTCAATTTCCAAGCCCAGGCACGAGGCAGGCTGGGGGCGGCCTCGCCCCCTTCCTACCTCCCGGCCTCACACGCCCCTCTGGGGAGCGGGGGAGGGGTTCGAGGGGGAGCCGGGGTGGCGGCAGCGGCGGCGATCGCAGCCCAGACAAGCGTCTCGCGCCGGGTCCCGAGAGAGCCGCGCGCTCCCCCGCCGCCACCTCCCCGCTCCCGTTCCCATCCACCCCGCAGGCAGCCGCCCCACACCCCTTCGGCCCTGGGGGCCTGGGCGCCCACCTGCCGCGATCCCTGCCCTGGCTGGGGGAAGGTGCCAGGCGGGAAGAAGGGGAGCACTCACCGCCGCTGCTGCCTCCGGGGGTGCACGGCCCCCCCCGCCGGGGCTGCGCCTTCCCAGGCTCCAGGCAGGCGTGCGCCGGGCGTGGGGGGCGCCCCGCGGGCCCTGCAGCCTCCGCCTCGATTGGAGCCCAGCCTTAAATCCTCCACCGTGAAGAAGAAGGGTACTTCCAGAAAAAAAATCCGCCCCTCCCCAGACGAGATCCAAGTGATGGGCGGGGAGCATAGAAAATCCTTTTCTGCAGAGAGCGCGCAGCCGACGGGGCTGCACCCGGCCTCCACGGTCCGCTGCCGCCACAAAGCCGCGCCCCCGGCCCCCCCCCGCCCCCCCAGCGCCCTATGGCCGGCCCGGGGCGGGGGCTGGGCCAGCCCGGGGTTGGCCGCGCTGGGGAGGCGGCGGCGGCGGCGGCCCAGGCAGCGGGGCGGTTCCTCCCCAGCCCGGGAGAGAGGGCAAGAGCCTGGAAGCCGAGCGCGCCCGCCCGGGTGGGGGTAGGGGTGGGGGTGGGGGTGGGGGTGGGAGTGGGGGCGGGGGCCGGGGTGGGGGGGCGCCTTCCTAGAAACCCTCGCCAAATATAGTCAGCGGATAGGGGCATTCCTAGAAATGCGGCGGCGACGTCAGCCTCGACCTGGGGGCGGGGGGTAGAGCCCGGGGTGCTTCAAACTAGGGGCACGGAGGAGGGGGAAAGAGTTCCCACTTCCAGTACCACCGCAGCCCAGAGACGGAACCGAGGCCGGACTTCCCTCCCGAGGGGCGTGCGGGAGTCCTCCAAAGGCACTTGAGGTATCCCGGAGCTGGGGGTGCATCCACTGAAGATTCAGACCCGGTCTGCCCCCCTCTTTCGGAAACACCCAGTGCCACTGCCAGCTGGCGCTTCTGGCCCTTCCCCCAATTTTCAGCACCCCCCTACCCCCCCACACACACAACCCCGTGAACAAACAGTAAAAGTAGGAGCAGCATCAGGCGGGGTCTCCCAGCCTCTTACACCCACCCCAGGACGTTTCCTCACGTCCTCTCGGATGGCTGGAGTCCCTGGATCCCCAGGGTTGAAACTGCACAGACACACTGTGTTCCCAAGAACTCCTCCAAATACCAACCCACCTTCGGGCCAGAAAATAAAGTTGTGCTTCCTCCTCCCCAGTCCAGTGTCACTTTGTTGCTGCTTCCGGGGCCAAGGGCTCTTGGAGAGGTGCTGGAACTTGGGGGTAGGGCATAAGGGTGTCCTCTCCACCTGGCAAAGACCTGGCCTCTGGCACTGACACTCTCACCAGCCATAGCTGTAATACTTTCCATTTCCCGCAGTAAGGGAGACGCCCCCACAGCAGCTCATCCCCTTCCTAAAATCTGCCCCACCCACACGCCTGCCCAGGGACCCCCAAATCCATTGCAGAAGTGGCCCCTCTTTCGCAAAGAGAATCCACATAACTGAGACATGACTTGTCCCTCTCCACCGACCCGCCTCTCTGCGCGAAAACGTGACTGGCCTGAACCTCCCAGGATCATAAAAAATGTATTTTGCTGTCCTCTGTTGGCCAACATGGGTCACATTCACAGAACACACCACCCAACCCAGCGGGCAGTCCTGATGCCACAGAGGGGGTCCCAGGGACCCCAGCCAGGGGGAGTGAGCTGGACTCCTCTTCTCCTGTCTGTGGTGTTCTTGCCCTCTCTGTCCTCTTTCTTTCTTTCTTCTTTTTTTATTTTTATTTTTTGATACGGCGTTTCGCTCCTGTTGCCCAGGCTGGAGTGCAATGGCGCGATCTCGGCTCACTGCAACCTCTGCCGCCCGGGTGTAGGTGATTCTGCCTCAGCCTCCTGAGTATCTGCGATTACAGGCAGGCGTCGCCACGCCCAGCTAATTTTTGTATTTTTAGTAGAGACGGGGTTTCACCATGTTGGCCAGGCTGGTCTGGAACTCTCGACCTCAGGTGATCCGCCCGCCTTGGCCTCCCAAAATGTTGGGATTATCGGTCGTCTTTCTTATCTTGCAGCCGATGCACAGAACTTGCTCATGTCCCCTTTTCCTCTTTGGGCCCTAATTTCAGAAAACTGGAGGGGTTTCTTCCTTGCTCTAGGGGAGGCAAGGAAGGCTGTGTTCACTCTGGACCCTGGGCTCGGGGACCCCAGGATGGTTTTTCTAATAGCAACTTGGAGAGGAAATGTAGCAAAAAAGGCAACAGCTGATCACTAATAATTTAACAGTCCCCATTCCCCCCACTCCACCCCCAGAAGACCTAAGCACATGGAGAATAGTAGCTTACTGAACTAACCCATTTTCCAGATGAAAAGACTGAGGCTAGGCCAGGCACCGTGGCTCAAGCCTGTGATCCTAGCACTTTAGGAGGCTGAGGCGGGTGGATCATTTGAGGTCAGAAGTTTGAGACCAGCCTGGACAACATGCTGAAACCCCATCTCTACTAAAAATACAAAAAAGTTAGCAGGGCATGGTGGTGAGCACCTGTGGTCCCAGCTACTCAGGAAGCTGAGGCAGGAGAATGGCTTGATCCTGGGGGGCGAAGGCTGCAGTGAGCCAAGATTGTGCCACTGCACTCCAGCCTGGGTGACAGAGCGAGACTCTGTCTCAAAAATAAAAATAGAAAAGACTGAAGCTTAGAGGTCAGTTGTTCGTGGAGCTAATACCTGCTGGCCCTCTGTGTGCCAGGCACAGAGCTGCTGCTACAGCCTCTAGAGCTAAGGCGATAAACAGCACAGGTCCCTGCCCTTGAGGAACTAGACGTCTCAGGGAGAGACTTGAGTCAACAGGTGAGCACTTTGCTGCCCTTATGGTCCAGGGCACCACAACAGAGCGAGGCTGGGCTGGGGGTGTCCTATCCTGGCCCTTCCTGCGGGAGTTGTCTCCATCCAGCCTGCAGCATCCTCGCCCATTCTTCTTTCAAGCTGTGTTGAAAGAGAGAAGCTGTGTCTCCCCCTGCTGCGTGTCGCCAGCTTGGGGGACCCCGGGCACTGCTTCACCTCTTTGGGCCTCTGTTTCCTCCTTGGTAAAGTAGGAGTCACAAGGCCTGCCTTATAGGACTTTTAGGGGGATTGCCTGAGACAGACTTCCTTTAGGAGTACCTGGCAACAGTGATTGGTGAGCTTGGTGCTGTCACCTGGAGGAGGGGATGTCTGAGCTGAAACTGTGAAAAAGGAAAACACTGGGGTTGGGTGCAGTGGCTCACACCTGTGATCCCAGCACTTTGGGAGGCCGAGGATCACTTGAGGTCGGGAGTTCGAGACCAGCCTGGCCAACATGGTGAAACCCCGTCTCTACTAAAACTACAGAAATTAGCCGGGCATGGTGGCGCGTATCTGTAGTCCCAGCTACACGGGAAGCTGAGGTGGGAGAATCGCTTGAATCCGGAAGGTAGAGGTTGCAGTGAGCCGAGATCGCACCATTGCACTCCAGCCTGGGCGACAGAGCGAGACTCTGTCTCAAAAAAAGGAATACACTGGGCTGGTGGGAGGGGTGGAGTCGATGCAGCAGGCACGGCATGTGTAACGGCCCAGGCGGCCCCTCTGGAGAACTGAAATAGCTGTAGCAGTGCTGGCTCGGGGGCCTCCAGGTGCTGCCCCCACCCACCTCTGTGCCCTGAGTCACAAGATTCTGGAAGCTCACCTCATCTGTCCAGTTCAGGCCCTGCCTGGGCTCTGGGACACCTGGATCAGTGCAGAAGGAAAAACCAGGCCACCAAAGGCAGCCAGGGCCCTGCCTTTATCTTCCAATTGAAATCCCCATCGAAGATGCCCCCTGGATCCTTCTGAGGCCTGCCGTTGCCAGGCCTGGCTTCGCTTCCCCGTGACTCAAGCGAGTGGTGGCCTGAAATCGAGTTTAGCAGCGGAAGCACTGCCAGACTCCGGAAAACAGCTCGCTCTTGGGCCGGAAGCCCCGGAGGCCCACCCTGGCCTTCTCCCAGGAGGAAGCCCCACCCGCACCCAGGTTTCTGGCCCCAGGGTGATGCCAAGGCCCCAGCCAGAACTAGGGAGCAGCCACACCAGGCAGAAGGAGCCCTGGAGGGCCGCAGCTGTGCTGAGCCTCTGGGAAAGGCCTGGACTCCAGGCTCCCAGGCCCACACAGAGAGAGTGGGTGCAGGCCTTGCCTATGGGCGCTTTCCTTGAGGCCTGGGGAAGGAGGACAGGAGGGTACCAGCACCCAGTTACCGCCACCTCCCAAGCCTCCCAAAATACTCGCAATGAGAAACTTCCCAAGCGAACAGACAGAAAGTATTGTATGATAGGTTTTAAACACTTGGATTGAACAAATGTAGGCTTATAAAAAACAGACACACAAGTCCATTGCCATATGGTGATGCTAGCCATGGGACAATGGTGGAATATAGGTGCTTCCAGAGGCGTCGTTGGGACAGTTTGGTTTTTTGGTGGTTATTTATTTATTTATTTATTTTGAGTTTCGCTCTTGTTGCCCAGGCTGGAGTGCAGTGGCACGATCTCAGCTCACTGCAACCTCTGCCTCCTGGGTTCAAGCCACTCTCCTGCCTCAGCCTCCCAAGCAGCTGGGATTAGAGGCGTGTGCCACGCCCAGCTAATTTATTTTGGTATTTTTAGTAGAGATGGGGTTTCGCCATGTTGGTGAGGCTGATCTTAAACTCCTGACCTCAAGTGATCTGCCCATCTCGGCCTCTCTTACTGCTGGGATTACAGGCGTGAGCCACTGCGCCCAGTTTGGGACACAGTTTGAAGTGTTGTGATGGCTTTCTTGTTCAACCACATCAGAAGAAGGCTGTGCCCACCCTGTGATATCTTCTGGAGAGAGCATTAAGAAACGAATCTAGGCCTGATGCAGTGGCTTACGCCCATGACGATGGAACTTCAGGCATTGGTGGAAGGAGGACCACTTGAAGCCAAGAGCTCAAGATCATCCTGGGAAACATGGTGAGACCCCTATGTAGAAAGAAAGAAAGAGAGAAAGAGAGAGAGAGAAAGAAAGAAAGAAAGAGGAGAGGAGTGAGGGAGGGAAGGAAGGAAAAGAAAGAAGAAAAAGAAGGAAAGAAAGAAGGAAGGAAAGGAAGGAAGGAAGGAGAAAGTGGAAGGAAGGAAGGAAAGAAAGGTAGAGAAAGAAAATAAAAGAAAATTTAAAAAGAAAAGAGAAGAGGAAAGCAAGCAAGCCCAGTGGCTGATGGGTACCTGTAGTCCCCGCTACTTGTGAGGCTGAGTCTGGAGGATCACTTGAACCCAGGAGTTTGAGACTGCAGTGAGCTGTGATCGTGCCACTGCACTCCAGCCTGGGTGACAGAGCAATATCTTGTCTCTAAAAAAAGGAATCTAGTCTA